TGAGTAAAAATTTGAACCCTTTAAGCCCTTTTTGGTAACAAACTCTGCTGAGAAGAGCATATCAGGGCACACTCTGAACCAGATACTTGGGCTGTACTTGACTGAAGGGAGATGAAGAGAGGAAGGACAGGAGACATGGAAGGAAGGCAGGCTCCAAATTCAGACTTCTAATTTGAGTGTAAAACATGCAGCATATGGTCAGGCTGGCAGAAAAGCCTGGCTGTGGCCACCGAAACACACTGCAGCATAATGTCAGCACGAGCACGATGCCAAGTCCTGCTCCCACTGCCAGGCCCCAAGAGGTCCCCATTAGACACTGCATACAGCCCCCACACCAAAGCAAAGGGTTTTCAGAGATACCAGCCATATGAGGGTGCAGGCAAGGACTTAGCCCCGAAAGCAAACTGCTCCCATTGACTGCCATAAATATTTTCTGTTTAAAAAGCCAAGCACAGTGCCCTAATGGCAGCGATCCTTATCAGCCAAATTCTTTTCCTGCTATCAGATGCATGAGGAGGTCACAGTGAGATCTGTGGTAATTAAAAATGAACGAGACCAAATAAGTTAAGCACATTCGAGTTGCAATGGAGGTCTGGCTTTCGCTGAGGGAAGTTCTCTGTCTGCCACCTCCACAGAGCAAAGCTCCCTGCCTCTGTGCATGTACCCTACCTCCAAAACAGCACCGGGAAGATGCCTAGAGAGGACATCTTGAATGTGAAGCAGAGGAGAGCCACACAGAGTAGCTTTAGGAGCAATAAATATTGCCTTTTTCCTAGCCAAGATCCTTGCTGCACTTTAAACGTGTCTCTTTGCAGGATCCCTTGCAACTGTGATGTGCCAGTGTCAAAAACATGACCCATCTCTGAACAGACAAAAGCATGAGAGAGATGGCCGAGCAGTTTGGCATGGCCGTGCCATGGCCCGTCCAGAGGCAGCCTTGAGGTACCACACTGCAATCAACCACAACATGAAGGCTGATGCCTTGATGCGAGGTCTGAAAGTGGCGATGGCCGCAGCCTCATGGGGCGAGCAGATTGGGAAAAAAAAAGGGGGAGAGTGAAATATAGAAAGGGGCATGTTGCCCCAGTGCATGACAAATGAGCTACTGTGCTGCAGAGCTGCTTCTGCACCTTCCCTCCCACATCGGGGGTCACTGCATAGCAGGACCTTCTACAGCATCACAAACATCTGTTGTGCGAGATTCCTTCTTCCTGCTTCTCACCCAGATGGTAAAGATGTTGTGCGGAGGGTGGCAAGAGGGGAAGGTGGTCTCATCATGCTGCTCTGTGCTCAGGGCAAGATAAAGTAAAAACTAATACTCAGGTCATAAAGCAGTCAAAATATGACAGTCCTTTCTATGTTGAACCTCATGGCTAATTCTCAAAGGACCCCGTCTTCTCTGCAGGTAAACTTGGCTGATTGAAGACCCAAAATGGATGAGTCCTGACATGTTTTGGAGACTACAGCCATTTTGGGGAATGCTGGCAGTTACTCTCAGCGGGTCACAGTCAGCTGTGCCTTGCAGGTCGGCGTGCACTTCAAAATGCAGCAGAGCACAGAGGTACCCAACCTAATTTCAAATGGGTTCATTTGAATGAAAAGCCGTAAAACACAACATCCTGAAAATGAGCACATCTCAAGACACTGACTGAGCTCCAGTGCCACGGTTAGATTGCTCCAGATATTTGAAGCACCTGAGCTAATACATTTTTAGCAATCTCAAGTGTCTTTCCACTCCACTGGAGACCGCAGTCTAGACACATTTACAGAGATGATTGGAGACATTTAACATATTGTTATACCATCTTTCAAATTCCTAGTTCAGGCACAATTTAAAGAGAATGACTGCTGAGCATTTGGAAGCAGGAGAGGTTGGCGCAGTATTCTCAGGATCCAAAATTAATGACAGCCTGCAAGTCACTTCTGTTTTCAGGGAGCAGTAAAGATCAATAGCAGATATTCTCAAGCGGCAGGCATCTCTGAATAGATGAAAACAACCACAAACAGTACATCATGAAGTCAGCAGTGATGGCAGATGTGCTCCCAAAAAACAACACTTTCTCATCCCGATTCCTCCATATCCACTGTGTCATAAATGCCGCCAAGGACCACTGAGGGCTCTGCCAACCTTAAGGAGACAAAAAAAGCCCCAAGAGCTCATGCTGCTATACAACTGCTACCCCTCTTTAAGAGCAGAAACATAGTTGGCTCAGCTATATGTCAGGACTAGTAGACCACAATCATAACGTCTGAAGACAACAGATCTCCAAAGCTGGAAATTGTCCTACCTGGGGTAGTTGTACTGAGGTCCCTGGTTCCACGGGCTGAAGGACTGAAAGAGGTACCTACGGGAGTCCAATACTCTACCAAATGTCAAGAAGAGCCCCAGTGTCGTGTCAGTATGCTCTGGCATAGGGTAGGATCTACAAGATGTAGGAGAATCTGAATAAATTTGTAGAATGTCCAGAAAGACTCAGCTCAAAGGATATGGCATAGTTGTGGTGTTTCTCAATAGGCTTCGGCATAAAATAGCACTAGGCCTATGAGAAAGGGAAGGTATTTCAAGGAGCCATTAATTTCTTAGTGAAATGTGTATGCAACTCCTGGCCAAGACTGTAGCACAAATCTCACACGGTACATGATCCACTAAGAACGTGAGTTGTAGCAGCCCTAAATACAGAACTTTTAATTTTCCTCAGGCTACAGAAAGTCGCACTATTAGTATAAGACATCCTTAGTCCAGCTGCTATGTCATCAGAGGAGACAGAAGCCGCCAGCTCAGAGAATACGACAAGTCAGTGAGGAGATGTCTATCTGTCAGTATTTTCAATACGACTCATCATCAACAGACCCCCTATGTGCAAACTCTAAAGAGCCAGAGGGCACATAATTTTCAAAAGCTGCCTCTCCCAGTATATCCCACCCACTGAAGAACGGACTGTCAGCCAAACTCTATGTTGGTTCAAATATTTTGCAGTAAAAGCCACC